GTCTATTGAAATCCCAAGGCTCGGTTCTCCTTAGATGCCTTCCCTGACCACCCAGGCCCCGAAAGTCTGTCCCTCCTCTCCTGTCTCCAAATCTCATGTTCTTTGGAGGAGACAGCAGGAGACAAGTGAGACAGGGTGACTAGAGAACCTGGGTTTGAGAAGCTTGTCTGCCAATAACTCCCTAGGCGACACCTATTCCTTTGGGGTCTCAGTTTTCTCTTCTGTTAAATAGGTGCAGTGATAATCCCTGCACCAGATAGACTGTTGTGTCATGAAATGACATGGTGCATGTGAAAGTGCAGCATAGACCACACAGGGAGAAGATGACACTGTAGTTGTTTTTGCTGTTTATGTGGGGACAAGGAACTCAAAAAACTCTGCTTGTCCCTGAAGGGTGAGCCTGCCCCTCCCTGGTAAGTTACCGTCTGTTCCCTGCCCCTCCTCCTTCCTTCCTGGGGAGGCCAGGATGCTCTTCGCACCCTCTCCTGCAGCTACCCAGGCCCCTCCCGCCGCTGTGCTGTCCAGATGCTCTCCCAGAGTGTGGCTGGGACTGAGGAAGGAGCAGAGAGAATAGGCTCCCTATTTCCCCTTAAGGCAGAGCATCCAAAAGAAATAGCACGTGAGCCACGTATGTAATTCTAACTTTTCCAGTAGCCACATTCAAAAGTAAAAGAAATTAATTTTAATAATATATTTTATTTAATCCACTATATCTAAAATATTCTCATTTTAGCATATCATAAATATAAAAAATTAATGATGAAATATCTTTCATTCTTTTTTCTGCATATTAAGTCTTCAAAACGCAATGTGTATTTCGTACTCACGGCAGCTCTCAATGTGGACTAGCCGGATTTCAAGTGCTTAGAGCCACACGTGGCTGGTGGCGGCTTCATCAGACAGTACAGCTCTAAGGTACAGATAAAGAATAGACCCTGGGTGCCTCGTCCAAAGAAATAAGACTTAATTGGTGGGATTTGAGGCCCCTTCAAATCACACCACAACGGTACTTCCTAATTCTGCCCGGGCTGCTGGCTGATAGAGCTTAGTGGATAGAGCGTGAGTTTTCTACTCAGGCAAAGTCAAGCTCGGATGTGAGTCCAGCCATCCATCTCTAGTCGTGGGGTGTAAACAAGTCGCCTCAGCTCGGAGCTTGTTTGCTCACTTGTGAAGGAGCACAGGTCTCCTTCCTTTGCAAGTCCCAGTGAAGATGGAGCAGGCTCATGCGTGCACAGCCACTGGCCCACATCCCAGTGTGGTCCTGGAGTCTCAGTTCTGCCAGCCCTGCTGTGCCCCGGGTGGGCCTTGGCCGTCTCTGAACCATTAGCGGTCCCAGCGCTCCCTGGCAGCCCGATCGCATCTCCTCTTGATATTCTCATTTTTCTTTGAAGAGCCTCGCATGGGCTGCACACACTGCTGGGTCCAGTCGTCTCTGGTGCTCCCTCTTTTAATAGATGTTCGTCAGATGCCCACTGTTTTGCCCCAGGCCCTGTGCTAGGCATCAGGGTTTCAGCAGAGAACAAGAAAACCTGGTTCCCTCTTGCAGAGCTCAGGGTCCAGCAGGGGAGAGAGACACCAAACATGCTTTGACTCAGGCCTCAGCATGGATAAAATAGATATTTCTTTATTGTCTTTAAAAATCAACTGAATTTCTACTCTGAATGCTCATCATGCCAGATCATCAGGAAACTCAACCTCAGCCTTTCTCAGGGCTCTCCCACCAAGGTGAAGCAAGAGTCCTAAAGTCTTACCCTGTGCCCAGGCCCCAACGAGGTCCCACCCACCAGACTTCAGCACCCACCCACCCTGGTCACTACGGTGATGCCCACCTGCCATCCTGGCCCATGGGCCCCCCCTTAACATGCTGGGGAGGAGTCCTGGTGTGACTAGAAACGTGGGAGCCCAGCCTCCCCTAGGTCAGCCCGCAGCCTGCTTCTTGGAAGTGAGCCGCTCCCTTGTGCCCTGTTCCAGAGGGTATGTGGCTCTCTGCTGCTATTGGAACCCACAGACTGCTTGGTCCCTCCCCCATCCTCATTTTCAGTTTTTAGTTGTAAGGAGGATGACATTCTCTTCCCCTCATCCTCGGAGGCCTCCCCACCTCTCCTCAAACTCCCCGAATCACCCAGCAGAATTTTCTCAATGGACTCAAGCTTGAGAAACAAAAGTCGGGAAAGAAAATCTTGCAACCTGATTACTGCTTTCTGCCCTGCCGTGAACCTCCCCTGAGGACAGGAAACCCAGAACCTGTTCCCTGCTGGGATGAGGGGGGCGGGTATATACATACACAATGAGTGAGATGTGCACCATCTGGGGGATGGTCATGATGGAGACTCAGACTTTTGGGGGAAGGGGGGGAAATGGGCATTTATTGAAACCTTAAAATCTGTACCCTCATAATATGCCAAAATAAAAAAAAATTAAAAAAAAAAAAAGAAAGGGAAAAGCTCAGGGGAGTAAACACACGTGAATTCATATTTGAATGAATTGTCCTGCTGAGACAGGCCAGCTGTGGGCCAGCCAGCACCAAGGAGCCAGGTGCTCAGAACAGGGCACCCTCCTCCCTAGGGTTGGGGGAGGCATGGAGCTTCTGAAATGTGGGAAAATCCAATATTTGCCTCATGAGGCTGCCTAAGAAAAGGAGATGGGGTCAGTGTGGTGGCTCACGCCTGTAATCCCAGCACTTTGGGATGCCAAGCAGGGAGAATCACTTGAGGCCAGGAGTTTGAGACAAGCCTGGGCAACATAGCAAGACCCTGTCTCTACAAAAGAAAGAAAAATGAGATGGGAGAAGAAGAAATAGAAGATGTCAGACCCAATTAGAAGGTGAGCCCTAGAGGGACCTCACAAACAACTTGGGGACAGGAGGCAGGAACAGCAAAGCCCGTGGGAGCTCTCCAGCCCAACCCGCCCTTCCGTGGCCTCCAGCATCCTGGACCCACATGGGGAAGCCTCTGCCTGCTCACTCCTGTTGCAGGAAACTCACTTCCTCCCAGGACGCCCACGCTGCTGTTTACGCTGGGCTTAAGTCTTCCATGGAATTCATTACTTCTAATTCTGATGTCAGCCTGCATGGAAAAGTGTGGCTGAATCAGACACTGCTTGATCACTTATGTTTGAATGACCCCATGCTAGTAGTAACTTCTCCAAGACTTAGTTTCCTCATCTGAAAAATGTGCACGATAATAGCACCTTCTTCGCTGCGTTTTTGTGTTGGAGGAATGCAGGTAGAACACCCTGGGCGCTCAGTGGCCTTGGCAGCCTCCTTCCTTTAGGGTGGACCAGCAAAGGGCTCCAGCTCTGGAGTCAGGGTCAGGCTGTCTGGGTGTAGATCCTAGCTGGACCACTTGCTAGTTGTGCAACTCAAGGCAAGTTATTTCATCTGTCTGTGTCTCAGTTTTACCACCTGAGATAAAGGGATTATAATGGTATCTACATCAGAAGGTTGTCGTGAGGTTTCAGTAAGTCATGCATTAGTCATTAGAACAGTGCCCGGCATGTAGTAAGTGCTTAGTAGGCATGGACCATTATTTATCATTTCCTTCCTTGTTTCTGACAACCCAAAGATGATGATTGTGGCCTCCTGCCCCCAACCCTCTGTCACACACAGCAAATCTCTTCCCCAGGATAAAAGACCTCTCCTAGACTGGGCGCAGTGGCTCACACCTATAATCCTAGCATTTTGGGAGGTTGAAGCAAAAGGATTACTTGAGCCCGGGAGTTTGAGACCAGCCTGGGCAACATAGTGAGACCCCATCTCTACAAAAAATAAGAAAACAATTAGCCAGGCATGGTGGTGCATGACTATAGTCCCAGCTACTTGGGAAGGAGGGTGACGTGGGAGGATCACTCGAGCCTAAGAGTTCCAGGTTCCAGTGAGCTATGACCATGCCACTGCGCTTCAGCCTGGTTGACACAGCGAGACTCTGTCTCTTAACAATAGAATGGATCTCTCCTTCAAGAGTTGCACATAGGCCATCCTCACCCAGGTGGAGGGACACAGTCCAGGGTGTCAGAGGGCATCTTCACAGTGTGGGCTCAGAGCTGAGCATGCCCTCTGGGTATGACCTGAGTCATCCAAGAGGAGGAGAGGGGTGCTCTTTTCTCTCGTCTCCCCAACACGTTCCCTTCCTGTCCCAGTAGACAGGCCTGGAGCCCAAGCCACCCAGCCTCTTGGTAGGCACAGCTCACTGGAGGCCCCTGCTCCTGGCAACTCTCCAGGAGATGACAGTCAGGAGTGACGTGATAACGGAAGACAGAGGTGTGGCAGTCACCATGTTGGTGATGTTGATGGGGGTGGTGATGGAAACAGTGAAAGTAGTAAAGATGCTGCTGCTGCTGCTGCTGGTGACAGTGACACTGATGTAGCAATAATGGTGACACCGATAATGATGTCAGCAATGGAGATGTTGGTGATGGGGATCCTGATGGGATTGGTGATGTCGGTGTTTTTGGTGATGGGGTGATGGCACGGTGGTGATGGAGAGGTTGAGGACACTGACACTGGTGAAGATAGTGGCAGGGATGATGGTGGCGGTGGACACAGTGATAATGATATTGATGGTTCTGATAATCATGACGTTGGTGGTGGTTCTGAAGGTTCAGGTGACTGTGACTGAGTCAACAATAATTCTCATGACTAAATTGGTCACTTGGTCATGATGATATTGGTGATGTGAACAGGGGTGATATTTAAGAAATAGGAATAATAGTGATGATGGTGGCTGTGGTGGTAATTTCAATGATGATGTGGGTGATTATTTATTACAACGTTAAGGATGGTGATGACAATTGGCCACCACGTGGGTGCTGCCGAGGGCGATTCTTTCAAAACCACGTGTTGCGTACCTATAGAACCAAGAGTAGTCAGCACTGCGGGCCCCACCTCTGCGATGAGGCGCAGCCCCCGCCTCCCCCCTGCCACAGCTCCTTCCCAGCCCTCAGCCTCCCTGAGCAGGACCTCTGGCATCCCGCTGACTGCCCTTGGTTGTGTGTCTCCCCAGGGGAGGGACACCCCGTCTGAGCGGAGCCCTGGGGACTCCCCAGAGAAGCAGGATGGCCTAGCACAGGTGGCAGCAGACCTGACTGTGATCCAGTTCATCAAAGGTAAGTGAGCTCAGGCCAGGTTGTGGGGAGGCTGTGCAGGATCCAGTCCTGGCTGCTCTTCCTGATTCATCTTCTCCACCGACAAGAAACTCATGAGCGCCATTAACTCCCTGTGACTATTCGCTTGTGCAATCCCCTCTGCCTCAAGCAATGGTTTCTATTGCTATCTGTCAGCATCTTCCCTGTCCCTCTGGGTCCTGCCCCAGAGCTTCTCCTTCCTCAGGCAGGCCTGCTCTCCCAGCCAGCAGGGCTGCGTCCCTCCCTCCAAGAGGACGCTCAGGCTTCTCCATCAGCTCAGCCCTGTGCCGTGCACTTGTCCAGCCCTTCCCCGAGCGCTGTGTTCCTGCAGGTCATCGCCTATGCTGGCTCATCTGTGAGCCTTCCTCTCCTCCCACCCACCGCTGAGCCTGCAAACAGGAGACCCTCAGGAAATTGTTGAAGTCCCAGGCTGGGCAACAGGTGGAGGGACTTCTAGGGACCTGGGCTTTTGTTCTTGGTCTTCACTTCTCTCTAGGCCTCAGTTTCTCCATTTGTACAGTAGACTCAATGATCTAAGGTCCATGTAGCTACGACTCTGAGACTATGAGCTCAATCTGTGCATAACCAGAGTACATGATATGACCAGGCCAGCTTGTCTAAAGATTCCAATCCCATGAACATCGAGTGAGCGCCTGCTATGTGCCAAGCTCTTGTAGAGCCCCAGGTGACAAGTCAGAAGACCTGGCTTTGAGTCCTGCCACTAATACTGACCAGCGCACAATCTCATGGGACTTATTTTTCTTCTCTAAATGGAGTTTCCTCGCCTGAAAGATTGGGTGGATAAGCCTTGCTCTGCCTCACTTAAGGACTATCATGACCATCAAATGGGAAGATGAGCAGAAAGCCCCTGTATTCCGTTACAAACACTGCCCATGGGTGAGGTGCATTCTGTCAATCATTGTTCCCACCTACTGTTACCGCCCTGCCCATGCCCCAGGAGAGTAAGTGGAGCTGCCTGTGTTTAGGAGGGTGATGTCCACGCAGGTTGCTTAATCCCTCACTGAGGACTTTTGCAGCAGGAAGAAATTAGGCCAATTTGCGGGAAGAGTTTCCTAAGACTTGACACATTGGGACAAGAGTATTCTAGCCCCCCCAACCTGTTCCTCCACATTCCCAGGGAAAGGGAGGGCCTGGACTCTGAGACAGGGGCCTGGACTCGCTAGCTCAGGTCACCCCCAGCTGCTAGAAGGCCCAGCATACTGCACCACGGAACTGCTTATTAATCACTGCTTGGCTCCTGCCCAGAGGGAAGCTGGGGTCAGTTGCTGAAATTGGATCCTAGAGCAAGTGTTCTAGGCCAGATTATTTCTGGTGATTTCTGCTCCGACGTGAGCCTGGAGAGGACCCAGGCAGGGCTGGCCTCGAGCCCTGTGACTAGTTAGCCAGCATTGTGCTGCTGCGCTGCACAGGGACCAGCCTGACCCTAAGACCTGGCCTTGACCACCTGGAACCATGAGGGAGGCCGAGGGAGGAGGAACCATGGTCCTTCTGCCGGAGGAGCCCTAACTCTTAGGGAAGGGTAGTCCCTGAGCTGGGAAGGCCCTGGCAGGTGGGGCAGACACAGTCTCTCTGGTGGAAGATACATAGCCCCTGAAGGAAGGGAGAGCCTACCTAGTCTGATGGAGGAGACCTGGCCTCTAGGGTGGAGAAGTCTGATGGGGGAGACAGAGCCCCTGAACTGAAGAGGTTCCTGCCTAATCGGGGAGATATTGTCCTGGACTTCAGAGAGGGCCCTAGCTAATGGAAGGAAATATAGTGTGTCAACTGAGGGAGGACCTGTCCTATTAGAGGGAGGAAACCTGGCCTCCGAGCTGGCTGATGAGGAAGACACAGTCGCCGAGTTGAGGGAGGCCCTGGCTTGTCTGATGGGCAACGTTGTGCTGAGCTGAGGGAAGCCCCGTCCCCTGGGGCAGGTCTGCCTCGGAGCTGGCGATGGGCCCTGGAACTCCCCTTCAGGTGGCCCCACCTAAGTGCTCCTTCCCTCCAGGAATTTCCCATCTGCTCTGGAGGCAGGCTGTGGAGGCTGAGGAGAGATGGAGGATGGGCACAGCGCACTGCAGTGATTGGTGCAGGAGAATGGGATGGACACAGCGGCATGGAGTCTTCTGGAGTCAGGCAGCTGGAGAGGCACAGGAATGGGGAGGGGGACAGGCCTTGTACTGGGAATCAGGAGACCCTGGGAACTCCTGGCCTTGACCTGGCCTCTCTGGATGAACTTGGGTGAGTCCCTGCCCCTCTCTGGGCCCCACCACGCAGTGAGGGCACCTGTATGACTTGGGTCAAGCAGATTGAAATTCCATGGCTCCTACAGGGCCTCAAGTGCCCTGAACATCTCATGGTGGCAGGGAGGCTGGAACAGCTACCTGGGGCACGCGCCAGCTTTACAGCTCCTCCTCCAAATGCTGGCTGGAGGCACTGAGTGCATGGCAAGGGACCAGGGACAAGAGTCAGGCCTGGGGAATTCCACAGCCCCACCCATCCCTTTTGGATTATTTTCCTTTATTTTCTGGCTCCCAGGGAAATAGCTCTTGGCCTGGGCCAGGGGGGTAGGGGACCAGCTGGCCTGGCCGTGCTCTGAGGACAGATACAAATCTCTCGTGTCAGAGGTCCTGGTCCTGCTGCTGTAGGAACAAAAGAGGCCCCCACCTGGCCCAGAGCACCCCCATGGCCTTCCTGCCCCACCAGCCCAGCCTGGAAAGTGAGTTGCTCCTCTTCCCAGGAAGGCCCTTCCTCCTCTCCCCCATACCTTATCTCTGACTTCATTCAGTTTGCCTTCAGCCAGCAGAGGCATACCTGTGCCGCTTTTATTGTTAGTGGAGAGAGGGTCATACATGTCAGAACAGAAGGTGCAGCCTGTAATCCTAGTACTCTGGAAGGCGGAGGCGGGAGGATCACTCAAGGACAGGAGTTCGAAACCAGCCTGAGCAAGAGCAAGACCCCGTCTCCACTAAAGATAGAAAGAAATTAATTGGCCAACTAATAATATATATATATATAAAAAATTAGCCGGGCATGGTGGTGCATGCCTGTAGTCCCAGCTACTCGGGAGGCTGAGGCAGAAGGATTGGTTAAGCCCAGGAGTTTGAGGTTACTGTGAGCTAGGCTGATGCCACGGCACTCTAGCCCAGGCAACAGAGGATGCTGCAGCCCATGGGCCCCAGGTGGAGGCACTTGACCAGGGCGCCACCCACCACCATGCCCAGGATGGTGGTGGATGGCACCACCACCAAAAAAGAATAGAAGGTGCACTTGGACATCACCTGAGTGGCCCCAAGTGATAAGGGCACTGAAGCCAAGGGAGGAAGGGACTTACCCGCCCCTCCACACACTTCAATTCGGCAGACTCGCAATGGGGGCATGCTGTGACAAGGCACTGTTTTAGGAGCTAGAAGGAGACTGGGGAGGTCCCCAGTGCCAGGACGGTCACTTCTATTCCTGTCTCTAAGCTTTTGCTGCTGCTGTGCCCCTACTTGGGATTCCCTTCCCTCCTGTTCCACCTCTCCAGACCCCACATTCTTTAGGTCCTACCTCCAGGAGACCTTAGCGCCAAGCCTGCTTGGGTTTCTCCTCTGGAGGTCTTCAGTTCTGCCCTAGACATTCGATCACATATTAACCATATGTCCATTCATTCATTCCCTTATTCATTCCCCAAATATTTAGTGGGTGCCTACTATGCCCTGGGCTCTGGAGATTCAGCAATTAACATGGCAAACAAAACCCCCTGCTCTAAAAGAGAATTACAATGGGGTGGGGTGGCAACGAAACAGCTAGATGAGTAAAAGGGGCAACGTGTTAGGTAAGGTGCTTGGAGAAACACAAACTAGGGATGGGGACATCAGGGTAGGGGTGGGGGCCTGTGCTGGGGACACAGAAAGGAGGATGAAGGCCCAGGTTGGCCCTGAAAGAGCTATAGCAGGACAGAATGGAATAGGCTGAGTGAAAAACAGGAGTGACTAAGTAGAATAGAAAAAATGAAATGAGATGGGCTGGGGTGAATGAAGTAGAATCTAATAGGATAGCATGAAATAGAACTATATGGAATCAAATAGAATTGAATAGAAAAAAAATATTGAATAAAATGTAGCCTAACTCAATGGGACAGAAAGAAACAGAATTTCAAAAATGGAATAGAATTCCATGGGAAGGAGTCAAGTGTAAGAGGACGGAATTGATTGCAACAGAGCTAAGCGGGACCAGACGGGACGGGATAGAACAGCTTGCACAAGGCAGGGTGGGGTGGGCACGGATGGCGTGGCTGGCCACCACTCTGACCTCCTCCCCACTCGCCCAACAGTCTTCCCCAGGGTGCTGCTGCGGACCCTGCGCCACCCCATCTTCCTGCTGGTGGTCCTGGCCCAGGTGTGCAAGTCTTCCACGGCGGCGGGCTTGGCCATCTTCCTGCCGAAGTTCCTGGAGCGCCAGTTCTCTGTCACTGCCTCCTACGCAAACCTGCTCATCGGCGGCCTCTCCTGCCCGATGGCCATCCTGGGCATGGTGGTGGGTGGCGCCCTGGTCAAGTGCCTCCACCTGGGGCCCATGCGCTGCAGCATCCTCTGCCTGCTGGGGACCCTGTTCTGCCTCCTCCTTGGCCTGCCCCTCTTCTTCATGGGCTGCTCTACCCACCAGATTGCAGGCATCCTCCACCAGCCTGGGTGAGTGGGTGAGCGCCAGGGCAAGCACGTGCAGGGCGGGGCCTGGAAGGACACTGGCCCCAGAGAGAGGCCAGGTCAGTGGGCACCATGCCCTCAAACCTCAGCTCCCCTGTGGCACCATCTCCCCACCTCTGTATTCAAGTCAAGCGGTGGGACGCTCTGGAAGGCTCCAGTGAAGGTGTCAGGCACCCCTAGAAGGGGCCCAGGTAGGACTCCAGGGGCAGGAGAGCTTAGGCCTGGGGCCTTCCTCCTGGAGGATGGAGGCCTCCCCCATCTCCTTTCCCTCCTCCTCCAGGCTGCGACAAGGCAAAGCCACCTGTGTCAGGGGAGGGGGATGAGCTGGTGTGGGCTGGCCCTCTCAGGGAAGCTGCAGAGGGGCCCAACGCCCTGGGAAGGGGTCGGACTGCAGATGTCTGACATCTTAGTTCTTAGAGCGTGGGATCCTAAACTGTCAGAATTCTGTTTCCACATCTGTGAGGCACCTTCCAGAAGGAAGGCTGCTGCTGCCTCGCTCCCTGCTACCCCTGCCCCTCCCGCCCCAGCCGCCAGATACATACCCACACACACACAGACACACGCACTCTCTCTCTTTCCCCTTGGGAACCTTCTTGGAGAGGATGTTAGAAGTTACATTCCTGCCTGTTTTCCAGAAATGATTTCACTTTTCCTGGAAGCTGCTCTGGGCTTAGGCTGGCCCAACACGCAGCTAGAATTCCCCTATTTGCTCTGTCCCCACCTCTGCCTTGGCATCTCCTATCTTCACCCTGTGCCAGCTTTCCTCACCTGGGGCTCCTTGAGCATGACGTGGGGGCTCAGCTCAGGGCCAGGGAGTACCCAGCCTGTCCCCTGTCTGTCCCAGGCCCCGCCCTCAGCAGCCTCCCCCCATTTCCCTCCCCCCTACCTTCCCTGTCTCGTCTCCTTTTCCCAAATGGGAGCAACGCAGCCTGCCAGACTCAGGCCTTCTGTGTGCAGAGCCCTGTTCTAGGCACCACCGCAAGGCCTTCAGCCACGCCCTGGGAAGTCCGTCTTCCACGGAGGGAGCCACACTTTTCAAATGATTTTTAGAGTAAAATGCAAATGGATATTTAACCACAAGTTTTAAAACGGTGAATGAAGAACAAGTGAGCACATCCAACTTGCCCATCTCTCTTTTCCTCTCCCTCTCACCCCTTGGCTTCGACAGCTCATCTCGCCTGTGTTTTCATCGATATTCTTGTAATTTATATACTGAACTGTGTTCTGATTCACTGAAGAAGCCTTTTGGGTCTGACTGAGCAGGTTGAGGAGAGCTTCTCATATTCCTACACGCTAACAACACCCACAGCTGCAAGAGTAGGGGGTCTCCCGCATGCCCAGTGCCCTGCCTGGCCTGCCCATGTGCCTGCCATCTCATTGAACCCCCAGGGGATCTCTGTGGTGGGTCCTGTCATTATCCCCATTTTACAGATGAGCATAACGAGGCTCAGCGAGCTGAAGTCACGGCCCAGCTGGGGTTGAAGAGAGGATGGAGATGGAGGAGGAGCCCCCAGCTCCCACCTGCTCAGCCTTCCAGCTGCTGGCAGCGGGTGCGGGGAAGTGCCTCTCCGTGGGCAGAGTCCCCTGGCACAGCCTCCTGATGGGCCCTCTGCTCAGACAGTGTCAGGCTGACTCCCCCGCCAACCCCGCAGGACACGTGCCAAGGCAGTGTGAGACACAGCAGCGAGCGCTGTCTGGCAGGGGAAGGAAAGGACTGTGGGGGCTGACGAACTTCCTCCCCATTCACAGGGAGACCCTCACCTTAGAGAGGGACAAGAGCTCGCCTTTGCCCATGAAGCCCTTCCCCACCTCACACCTGGCTACAGACCGTCTGCCTCGGCCCTGCCAGCCCTCTTCACCATGACATGGACATTTCACGTAGCCTGCCAGGCCCGCCCCTCAGCCTGGGCCTCTGCCCACACCCACCCCAGCCCAAACGGGGCTCCTCCAGCTTCCCCTTCTGGCCTCCTCCTCCGCAGCCTGGCCCCTGGGCCTGTGTGACCCTGAGCCAGGCACCAGCCTCTCTAGGCCTCTGTCTCCCAGCAGGTGTGCTGTGCTCCTTCCAGTGTAAAGCCAGGTCATACTCTGAGTCCCAGGGACCACCTCCCTGCCCCCTCCTGGGGTGAGCCACCCCCTCAGACTCAGCCTCTCTCTGACTTCCTGTCCCTGTGTACCCCACCTTGTCCTGGAGTGGGGGCTCCCCTGGGATCTGGGAGCAGGACCTCAGGAGGGAGGCAGGGGGACTGAAACATGCCCTGGACATAGTAAACAAGGCAGTGGGAGACAGCAGAGAGGTTACAAGGCAGCAGGATGGCAATGGGGGGTGGGAGGCCCAGCCCAGCTGCCAGGCAGGGAAACTGAGGCTTAGAGATAGGCCAGGACAGGTAGGAGATCCCACAGGTGTTCAGGTCTCCTGATTGGGTCCCACACCCACAGCTCTAACTTTCTGAGAAAAGGAAGCAATCCGGCTCATTGGGAGAATGGTACACTCAATGTGACACAAATTCTGGGAGGAATTTATCTTGTGTCCCTACAGAAGGGTCACTGAGGTACAGAGAGGTGTGCAGAAGAAGCTCAAAGACCCGTAGGATCCAGGGGCTGGAGGGGTCCTGTGAGGAGCCCTCCTGAGCTTGCAGCCTGCAGTGTGAGCAGCTCACTGCTGCAGCACCACGGGGCAGCCGTGACCGTGGAGAGAAACTCCGCGTGGAGCTGCAGTCTCTGGCCATGGCTCTGGGGTGGGAGCTGGGCTGCAGGCAGAGGGGCCCCCCGCTTGTGGCCTGAGGGGGAAGAGCCAGGCCAACCATGTGGCCTCCTCTCCCCCCAGCACCCAGCCTGGGCCAGGGCTGTTTCCAGGCTGCATGGAGCCCTGCTCCTGCCCGTCAGACGGCTTCAACCCTGTCTGCGACCCCAGCACTCACGTGGAATACATCACGCCCTGCCATGCAGGCTGTGCCAGCCGGGTGGTCCAGGAGACTCTGGACAAAAGCCAGGTGAGTCAGGCCTCTGGAGGCCACTTGTGCCGTTCTCCTTCCCGTGAGCTGGCCACGCTCTCCACCTCTGGGTGCTCTCACTCCCTGGCTCTCTCCTCTCCATGTGTTTGTCTGTCTCTCTCCTTCTGGTGGCAGATGTAGAACATTATTCTCTCGATAAGCTGGCATTGCCAGCCTGGCCTCAGGGCACAGAGGAGGAACAGATCTGGCCCCAGCTGTCCAGGCAGGGGAGATGCAAAAGGAAGTAACTCCTAGGATTTGGCTGGGGTATGGACAGGCAGGGGAAGGGGCTCCAGGTACACAGAAGGATGGAAGGAGACCATCCCGCCTGGGAATGTCCCAGAAGCCTGGGACATGCTACGGGAGGTAGCATTTGTGCCAGACCTTCAAGGGTGAGTAGTAAACTAGGACTTGGGAGGGAAGGGCTTTCCAGGCAGGGGAACAGCAGAAGTAAAGATTTGCAAGAATGCTCATGCATGCACGGGCACACAAGCATGTACACACACACAGCTTTTCAGGAAACTACAAAGGACTTGTTGGAGCAGAAACATGAGGGTTCATGGAGGGAAAGCAAGGCCCACACAATGAAGGGCCTTGAATGCCAGGCCAAGAGTGGGACTTTATCAGGAAAGCTATGAGGAACCACAGATGAGTTTCGAGTGGGCAAGCGACAGTGTCAGATCTGTGCTCTATCACACTTGAGGCCATAGTGTGGAGGAGGGTGAGCAGAGTCCAGAATAGGACATGGACACCAATAGAGAGGCTGACATAAGCCCATTCAGTTGGTCAGTCAGTCAGTCAACAATGCTTCACCAAGCACCTCCTCTGTGCCAGGCCCTGTGCGGGGGCCTGAGGACTCAGAGCCAAGTAGCCCCGTGGGAAATGAGGGCAGCATAATCAGCAGCAGTGCACTGTGTGAGCCTCAGCAAGGCCACTGAGACCAGCCGGCTCTTCCTCCCCTTTCTCCTGGACTACACCCACCTTCTCAGGCCCCTTGGCTGTAGTCAAGCATGGGGTGGGGGTGTCAGGCTGTTTGTTATGACAACATCCTCTCCTCCCCAGAGTCCTCCCATGTCCATCCTACTGAATCTCTGCCCTTAAGCTGGGCACCGCACCTGAGCCCAAGGCTCCCCCAAGGAGCGACCTGGGCTGCCCAGCTGGTGCAGAGCAGAGCAACTGCTGGTGGCTGTGGTCGTCAGAAGCCAGCCAGGCACTACCTGGACTGCGTACACTGTATTCGGAATAATCACAACCCCAGCCTTTCGGACCTCCTAGTGTTCACTGTCCTGCCCTAGTCCGGTCTCCCTGAGAGCCCTTCCAGAGGCCCCCAGGCCCTGGCAGGCCTGTGGATATGGGCCCCTGAACACAGAGCCCGGACCACCCAGTTCAAACTCCTGCTCTGCCTCTAACTGGCTCTGTTACCTTAGGTAAATGATCTCACCTGTGCCTCTGTTTCCTGGTCTGTAAAATAGGGGTGATATTACTAAGCACCTACTATAGAGCAGGCACTATGCCACATAAATGGTTTATCCAGATGGCTCATTAAATACTAAATGAAAAGCCATATGACATTAGCCATGAAAAGCTCAGAGACAGTGCCTAGGAAATTTTAAGCTCTCAGTAACATACATTCCTATTATGCCCATCGGACAGAGGAGAAATGGAGTCCCAGGCAAGGACCAGACATTGCTCAGAGTGTCAGTAGCAGAGCTAGGACTAGAACCCAAGGCTCTGGCCCCTCTTTGAAGCACCACAGAGACTTGGGGTTGGGTACAGTGTTTGGAGGAGGGTGCAGCTGAGACCAGGCCAGCACTTAGGGACTATCATGCTGGCCTGGAATTGTGTCTTGACATGTCTGCCTCCTCAGGCCAACTGTGAACTCAGGGACGGGTGGCTCAGTGCCCAGGGCAGCTGTGCTCCGTAGCTGCTATGAATGAGCTACGGGCCCAGGTATGAAGCAGAAGGTGGGCAGCCACACGGGCTGGGGGCAAATGCTCTGGGGGAGTGAGGCCCAGGCAGCTGGAGAGATTGAAGTTATGTATAAGAAGAATTTCCTGCTATGGAATTACATGAAAGTGACTGAAATGTCAGGAAAAACCCAAGAGGAAGATCTCCAGCTTTTGTGTCCATGCCAGAAAGCTTCTGCTTCTGAGAAGAGGAACAGGGCATGGTCTCTCTTCCAGTAACCCTGCCTTAGCATGTTTCTCCACAACCTGCCCCTCCACTGTATCTCCAGCCTGCAGTTGGAGGTCCAAAGGCGTAAAATGGCGTGTACCTAAGGGGTCACACACGTGACAGCACAGCCTCCTCACGCACATCAGCTCTGCCAGGACATGGAAGCATCCAGCCTCCCAAGCCTACGTGTCCTCTCTCTCTCTCCTTTCTCTGATCTCTGGGTCCCTCCTCCGTGCAGTGGCCAGAGCGGCCTTCGTACTATCAGTTCTGTCTCTCCATTGCTTGAAATCCTTCCAAGGCTCCAGCGTCCCCCTCGGAGCCTCCCAACCCTTTTCCCCGTGGGAAGTGTGAGGCTGAGAAGGCAGGAGGTGAGGGCCCCGAGGGCTGCAGCTACCCAGGCCAGCTGGGCCACCTTGCTGGCTGTCGGGGCCAATCCCTGCACACCTGTCCCCCATCGAGGCCCCGGTGGCTGGGGCACACTGGTCAAGAAGCTCTGATCCCTGGGGTAGAAAGGTGAGGTCCAGGCTTCCTGCTCTCGCCAGGCGACAGAGGGCCCTGGAGGTCCAGAGATCACTTCTTAAAGAATCCTTGGATGGAGGTTTTCCAGGCTACATAGGGCCAGCCTGGGGATGTTTTTCATGCAGCTAGTTCGTAGTGCTTAGGGAGCGATGCTCTTCTTGGTCCCTCCTTCCTTCTCTGCCTACTTCCCTCTCCCCACAAAGCCTCAGCCCAGGCTCAGCCCGGTTTGTGCAGACAGACCCTGTGTCTAGGTACCTGCCTAGCTCCTCGAGCCATCGTGACCCTGCCAAGGGATTGGAAGTCGCAGACACCAGCTGGCTCTACTCCACCTGGCTGTGGGCCCCTGGGCCTCTCACGAGCCTTCCCGCTCCCCAGGCCTTGCCAGCTGCCTGCCCTTGGAGGCTCCTGAAGGCTCTTCTCCCCCCTCTCCCACTCCAGGTTTTCTACACCAACTGCAGCTGCGTGGTAGGGGGTGGCCCTGTGCCAGCAGGCTCCTGTGACTCGGCCTGCAGCCACCTGGTGTTGCCCTTCATGCTCCTGGTCAGCCTGGGTGCGACAGTGGCCTGTGTCACACACACACCCTCTTTCATGCTCATCCTAAGGTACAGGTGGGGTGGGGCAGGGGCAGGTGGATGCCAGGAAATCCTTAATCACAGGTGGGACAAGGAATTCTAAGGGAAGAGTTTGAGGAAGGAAGCCACCTGGCAGTCTGCCAAGGCGAGGTTTTCTCCCCATCTTGCAGATAAGAAAACTGAGGCTTAGAGAAGTTCAGGAGCTGGCCCCAGTCACATAGCAAGTGTTGGGTGGAATGGTACTGGTGGCCCAGCCCAGAGCCCAGGCCTCTACTTGCCCAGGGGAGGGGAACCATACCTAGGGCCCTGTCATGGCCTCCCAAGGAGAGAGTGTCATACAGTGAGGAGGAAGTGGACTCCCCACCCCATCCTACATGCAGTGGATGAGCCACAGGAGGTGCAGTGGGGAAATCAAGCTATGTCACCTGCGCCATGATTCTGAATGCCACTTCAAGGCCACAAACATTTACTGAGTGTCCACTGTGGACCCAGCCCATGCTGAGCACTGCTTTTTGGTCCAATGTCTTTCTTGCCCTTGTCCTAAAAGTGCCTGATGTGCCTGACAAATTGTCACTTCAGTCCAAAGTCAGAATCTTCTGGGCTGGGGACTGCTTTTCTATGATCTCACTCATCAGCCAGCACAGAAAACTTCTATGACCAGAAGTGTGGGGTGTTTTCACACACACCAAGCAATCAGTCACTTCTACACTGGATGCCCCAGTTCAATTCCGACCCTGTCTACCTGGAGGTGGCATCAGATCCCACAGGTGGAGGGCTCAGTCCCACAAGATCGCCCCCTCTTTCCCCTGCGAGTCACAAGCCCCAGCTTGTTTTACCTGTGCTTCTGACCAGCTGGCTATAAATTGGGGTTTCCCTGATCCTCTCCTTGAGTTTGATTAATTTGCTAGGGTGGCTCTGGGAACCCGGGGTAACACCTACTTACGTTTATCAGTTTATTATAAAAGATATTACAGAGGACACAGATGAAGAGGTACATGTGGCAAGGAGGGGCCCATGCCCTCCCTGGGCACACTACCCTCCAGGAGCCTCCACGTGTTCAGCTCTCCAGAAGCCCCCCAAACCCAGTCCTTTAGGTTTTTGCGAAAGCTCCATTACGTGGGCATGACTGATTAAACCACTGGCCACTGGCGATCAACTTAGCCTTAGCCCCTTTCCTCTCCCCAGAGGCTGAACGTCCCAACCCTCTAATCCTGCCTTGGTCCCTCTAGTGACCAGTCCCCATCCTGTTACCTGGGGGCTGCCAGCCTTCAGCCAATTCATTAGCATATGAAGATGCTTATCACTTTGAAGATTCCCAGGATGTTAGGAGGTGTGTGCCAGGAAGACCCACTATGTATTTCACAATGTCACAGGGACCTCAGAGCAGGCTAATTCCAATTTTCCTCCTGCTGGGATTATTTTATTCAGCATCTACTTTCTAGGAAATTAGAAGGCAAATGAGGCCCCTCCCAAATATTAGAAGACATGTAGGTCTATAAAACAGGCTGGCCGTAAGAGACAGAGTAGAGGAACCAAATGCCCCAGCAGACAGCCTGACTAAGAAAAGTGGAGAGCACAGGCTCTGGGCTGTGTGGACTCTGGCTCTGACACTATCAGCCATGGGATCTTGGCCAAGTCATTTAATCTAAGTGTCAGTCTCCTTATCTGTAAAATGGGGCTAATGATATCCCTAGCTCATAGGGGCACAGGGGCTGCAGTAAGGAATTACTGAGCCTGTAGTGAGCACATCATAAATGCCAGCCACTGGTGCTGTTTGGGAGGTGCCAGAAGACTGCAGGCTGGGCACTGCAGTGTAGGGGAAGCAGGAGGGAGAGTCTGGCCGTCCCAGCTCCAGGTCTTGCCAAGTGTAGGAGGAAAGGAAGAATTTGGTGGAACCAGGGGGTGGGAGAGAGGGGCAGTGTCCATGACCGGGGACATAGGAGGGCAGCACAGGACCCTGATAGTCACTGGGTATGACTAGTGCAAGCAGACCAGACTCTTCAGGTTGAAGGGAGATGGGGTGCAGGGCCTGAGCCCCAAGACCAGACCCTCAACTGAGGGAAGGCTGGGTGGTAAGAGAGAAGGGCGTGGTGAGAGCCCCCCACACTGCTGGCCCTTGGGTGCATGAACCCTGCATCCTCATGGCGCCACGTGTCTGCTTGTCAGGGAAGTGAAGAAAGAAGACAAGACTCTGGCCCTGGGGATCCAGTTCATGCTGCTGAGAGTTTTGGGTAAAGAGTCTGCTTAGAAGCATTGGTGGTGGGAAGGGGGTTCAGAGGCGCACTGTGTGCCAGGCCTGGGGGACACAGGCACAAGCGGGACCGAGTCCCTGACCTTAGGGCTCTCAGGCCCGTGGGGCGACAGACCCGACCCAGCTCTCCCGGGGGGCGCGTGCAAGCAGGGGCCACACAGCCTGTCAGGAGGCCACCTTGGATACAGGGGCAGGGGTGGGCTTGAGGGCTAGAGCCTCCTGAGCCAAGAGGCCCCCAGTTATACATGCTGGGAGGGGGTGGGGCAGGGACGCGGCCTCCGTTGGCCCCTGAGCCCCTCCTCCCTCAGCCTGGATGCCCAGCCCCGTGATCCACGGCAGCGCCATCGACACCACCTGTGTGCACTGGGCCCAGCGCTGCGGGCATCGCGCTGTCTGCCGCTACTACGACCACGACCTGTTCCGAAACCGGTGAGGCCTGGGGCGGGGGCTGTGGGAAGGGTGCTGGAAATGCTGTCCGGATCCTGGGCAGGATAACCGCAGGGGGCAAGTCCCACTGAAGTCCACCTGCTGGGTGACAGGTGCTGCATCCTGTGCTGAGCTCACAAGTCCTGTAGGCTAGACACTGTCTCTCCCTATTATAGATGAGGAAGGTGAGAGTTAGTTAGTAGCCCAAGGTCACATGGCTAATGACGGCAAAGCTGGGCCTTGACCCCAAGCTGTCTGGCTGCAGAGTCTATGCAGGAACCCGGGGAGAATCAGGGGTGCGGCCAGCTGTGAGAGGGACGTGGGGCAGGGTGTTGGGAAGCAGGCCCTGTCTAGGACACAGGAGCCCTGGGGTCCAGGCAGGCTCTGTCTCCCTCATCACGGGACTTGCCTTCTCTGGGGCTCGGTCTTGCCGTCTGTGCTAATACAACGGGGAGCTCAAAGGAGCCTGAGGGCACAGAAGCTGCTGTCCTGGGTGGATGTGGGGAGGGCTTGCTAGCAGAACTGGGGGAGCTGGTCACTTCCGGCTCTGAGGCAGGCACAATCCCTGTGGGCTTGGACTGTCCAGGGGGTCTTTCTAGCAGGGAAAAGTCTTGAGGGCCTTGTTGAGTTAAACAAACCCAGGGGAGGGAGGGCCAGCCCAGGCCAGTGGCAGTCAGGGACAGGACAAGGAGGGTGTTCAGGGCTCTTCCTGCAGAGCCTCTTCCCCTCTTCCAGGCAAGGGCCCCAGTGGAGGTCAGTGTCTCCGAGGCCTCAATGTCTCCACCTGCACAATGAGTGATGACTGCTGACTCCACTCTGCCCCCGGCCCAAGGACATCCAAGCCCTAGACTGGGAGCTCCTGAGTTCAAGGGTCCCTTGTTCTTTCCCCAGGTTCATCGGCCTCCAGTTCTTCTACAGAATAGGCGCCATGGTCTGCTTCGCCTTAGTTTTGGTGGTTCTGTGGCAACAGGATAAAGAGGCAGGCACCAAGGCAGCCGTATGCAGCTCTGGCCCACAGCAGCAACTGTTGCTGTCAGGGCCAGAGAAGAAGCCAGAAGATTCCAGAGTGTGAGCTGTCCCAGGACCCCACCTGGCCAAGAGTGGCAGCTACAGTGGCACCTCCTCTGGGCTCTTGGGCCAAGATTCCAAAGGAGCCCTGTGTTCCAATTCTGGCTCCTCCACTAAATTGCTGTGTGACTTTAGGCAAGCCACTGGCCCTCTCTGGGCCTTTGCTCCCCTGAACCAGAAACCAATTGGGTGGTTGGCCGTGTTGGCTATTTCTGAAGCAAGAGGATCTTCCCTGGGCATTCCTCCCCCAGCCAACCAGCTGCCCTGGAACGGGGCTCTCCTGGGTGGGAGGACTGCATATCTTTTCCCCAGGCCGCAGGAGATGGAAATGGACCATAGTAGGCCAGGCTGCCCTCCACACGGGGCCCTGGAGCACTCTCTCTGAGCCTCAGCCACCTCCTGTCGGGTGGGAACGGACTAGCCAGCTTTCAGGTTTGTTCAGCTCTGACCATCTGTGTGGTCAGGATAGACTCAGGTCTTCTCCCCAAACCCAGGCAGCCTTCAAGAAGTGTCTATTTGGTGCCCCCTGGAGGCAGAGTCCTGACTGGACGCTGGACATGCAGGGAAGAAGGAGCTGGTGTCACAGGGGGACATCCAGACTTGGCGGGGCCTTTGGGAGTTTGGGGAGCGCAGGCAGGGAGCCTTGGCTGAAGGGGGAGACTCACCTCTGACTCAGGAAGTCCCCGCCCTTGCCCTCAGGGAGCCACGGTTTAGGGGAGAGGCCTAGCACCTGCCTTAGGAGCCTGGGAGTGGGGAGGGAGACCCAGGCCCACACTTGGGTATTTTCAAACTTGAGATCAAACACACGCTCAGCACGCACTCATGGTGCTGAGATTTCACACACGTGCCCAGGGGCCACCCAACTCACTGTGACCTTTGTGAACAGATTCCTAATTTCCACATTTCCTCCCAGTTGCCTGGGGATATGTAGATAATGTCTGGTTCTGTGACACCCAAGGTTTTGGGGGTGCCACCTGGTTCTCTGTCCTGCAGGGAGCAGTGAGCCCCACTCTGGATAACGAGCGATTCTGTGGCTTGCTTAGGTCTGAACGAGCCAATCTGTTTCTACATTAGGGCTTGTCTTGTTTCATGGCCGGTCTTATCTGGCTGCGAGCAGAGTTTCCTGATCTGCTCCCAGCCCAGTCTGCGGCCACCACACACCCCACCTGGCTGGGACCTGCTGTCAGAAAGCAGCTGACAGGGAGCCACCAGCAGTGGCCTCCCCGCTGGTGCCTGGTGGAGAAGGTGGGCCCAGGGCATACTCAGCTCTTGCCTTCTGGCCATTCCCAGTCCACAGCTTTGAGCCTTCCCCACATGAAAGAAGAGAGGGTGCAGAAGCTCTAATTCCCTTTCTATTCTACTGATTGATACCTGTAGGTATTTAACAAAGATCTGAGCCTGCGTTTATCAATGCCGAGAATTTCAAAGTCTCCTCCACCAAGATGAGGCTTTCTGTATGTTTATGTTCCTTCCCCTGCCCTCCTGTTACCCAGGTTTTGCAGAAATAACCTGGAATTGTAGATATAGCTTGTTATTAAATTTGTCCTTGCATAATGTCTCTTCTATTACAAAAATCCTTTCTTTATAAACTGCATTAGAGGCCTGCAGCAACCACATTATTTCCAGTTATTTAGATTTAAGCTTTACTGGACTCATTGCTCACCACGACTGCTCATGTATTACGTCTCTCCCTAGCCTTATATTCTGGTCTAATTTTTGTTTGGCTGAGTGACTTCCTCTAGTAATGGTTTCAAAACATGGGATAAGGTCACGAGGCTTTCTGAGTCCTCACCTGTCCAAATTGTCATTTGCATGTTACGGAAGAGGACGCCAGCTCAGAAAGTATAAGCGACTTCCCCAGGATCTCACAGAAAATAAATGGGGAAGCCAGAGTTGGATCTTGTGGGAACTGAAGCTCATATAATTTGGGAACCCTCTTAAAAAAAAAAAAAAAAGAATATACAATTAGGTCAGAAAATAAATATTTACCTATAATGGGAAAATAAATCAAAACAAATGCATTACACAATCCAGAAAAATAGCATAATATTTTTATTAACTAACTGCCTTGCACACCTCTAAAACATATTTCTTTCCCTTGGTGATTAGAAAAGTTTCCTAAAGACTAGCTTCTGGCTGTGTCCATTTCAAGCCTTATTTCTCCTGTTGCTTCTGTACTGCTCATGTACTTCCTGGGCCAGGTGGCATAAAACACATTCATATCATGTATGACCTCTGCAAGTGACACCTTAATGTCACAATGCCAAGTGAGGCTGGCAGTGGGTAGGAATTTTCCTAGAAGTCCTTTCTTCGCACAGAGATGGCTAGTAATGGTTGTCTATATACAGAGGTGACAAAGAACCACATAAATATATCCCAGTGCACCGAATTAAAGCAATTGCCAACTTGACTCCCCCTTAGCTGGATCCCTGAAGTGCCCATGGCAATTCCAACCAACTCATATAAAGAAAAATTGGGACGCAAGGGAAATTGGAGTGGAAAGAAGTGGCAATCTTGATTGTGGTTAAAACATCTTTTTCTTTTTTTTCTGAGACAGAGTCTCACTCTGTTGCCCGGGCTAGAGTGCCGTGGCATCAGCCTAGCGCATAGCAACCTCAAACTCCTGGGCTCAAGCAATCCTTCTGCCTCAGCCTCCAGAGTAGCTGGGACTACAGGCATGTGCCACCATGCCCAGCTCATTTTTCCTACTTGCCTGGCTAATTTCTTTCTATTTTTAGTAGAGACAGAGTCTTGCTCTTGCTCAGGATGGTCTCAGACTCCTGAGCTCAAGCAATTCTCCTGCCTCCACCTCCAGAGTGCTAGGATTACAGGCATGAGCCACCATGCCTGGCCTGGTTACTGTATCTTTATCTTTGCAAATTTCAAGAAAATATGAGATATGAACACATGGCTGCAGTCTCTCCCTGGACCTGGGCGGGGGCCTGGATACTCAAGCAGCATCCTCACTGTGAGTCTGCCTCTGGGCTGAGCTGACATCTGAAGACAAGGTCCTGGTGCTTACAGCCTTCTGGACTTGCAAGGATCAGGGGACTCAGGAGTCGTTGCAAGACAGACATGGAGCTAAGAGCCAAGGGGTGAGGCAGGTCAGGGCCAGGGGTCCCAGGTACTGTGGAACCCAGGGAGCAGCCTTCTCCCCTAATATAGTCTCCAGGCAATGAAGAGCTGCAGGCATTGGCATATGTGAGCTCACTTTCTTCTCATGCAACACCAGGGAGTTGAGAAGAAAAGGAATTAAGACTCCCTACTGGATTCTGCTGGTAGGAGAGTCAGCAGAGGACAGGACTAGACTACAACTGACAACCCAACGCCTGATCCTGAGTTGAGGTTTTTTGCCTATAGACCCATACTGGGAAGTTCCAGGGCAGGCAGATGTCCCTGAGGAGTCCCTGGCACTTGGTTAAATGAGGAGAGAGAACCCACCGGCACCCTCACCGTCGCCTGGGTGTGTTGAATATTCTCCCTTCCACGAGCCTTTGCCGTGCTGCTCCCCCTGCGAGATTGCCTTCCTTGGCCCTGCCGCAGGAAGTCCTACCCAGGCCTCTGGGCCCAGCTCAAAGGTCATCACCTCCAGGGAGGCAAGGTGGGGAGGTAACAACCCCCTTTGGGAATCTGATAAAAAGATGTAGACTCCATTAAAAAAATAGGCATATACACAATTGTGCCTACAATTTCAGGGGTTGAAGACCATCTGAAGCCTGGGTGTAGACCTAGGAGCCCAGGAGCCCAGGTCAAAAACCCTTAATGGATTGAAGAGATCAGAGCTTGGGGTCAGATTTGGGGTCAAATCTTGACTCTGCCACTTATTCATAGCATGAACCTGAACAAATGATTTAGCTTCTCTGCACCACCATTTCTTCACCTGTAGAGTGAGGTTCGTCATGCCTAGCTCCTGCCTCCCAGAATTTGTGAAGAGCAGATAAGATGATGCACTCGCTTACCGGCCCCGCTCCTGAGGATTGTAAGCTTCCTTCCCCTGCTCCTGTCCCAGAAAGAATTTAATGAACACATAGAGCACTGTGGGGGAAGGGGTGGTGACAACTGAGGGAGGAGGCACACCCCCTGCCCTGCCCTGGCCAGCTCCAATGTCCCCCAATCTCTGCCCTGCTGTCAGCCTCGGCTTAGCCAGCCCAATCTTATCTCTCCCCACAGCCAGCCTGGGACTGCTTTTCTCAACTAGATTTACATTTTATTGATTTTCTTTCTCCCTTCCAGAGCAGTCCCTTCCTTCTGCTTCCCCTTTGGCTGTAGAATGGGCCTTCCCTGGGAAAACAGCAGTTCCAGGGCTGACCAAAAAGTGGTAGTTCAAGAATGGTTTGTTCACCAGCCACTCATTCATTCTTTCATTCATTCAACCACCCACCCCACCAATGTACCCTACGGGTCTGCTCTGTGCCTTGTGCTGGCACTGCTGGGGACCCAGCCATGTGTCAGACACAGTCTCTGCTCTCAGGAAACTCCCAGTGTGCACAGACAAACTGACCAACAGTAACGAAAGCATGCGCTGCCCTGCAAGAGAAGGAAGAAGAGGAAGGCGCGCACTCTTCCTGGGGCCATGACGGAAGGCTTCCCAGAGGAGGTCATAGCAGAGCTGGCCTTAAAGATTAGGCAGGACTTCCCCAAGTGGGGAAGATGTGAGTGGACAGGAGAAACAACAAGATGAGCAAAGAGAGAGAGTGAGATGTGTCTGAGATACAGTGACAAGAGCAATGTGGCTGGAGCCACCATGTATGCAAGGCCATCAGAAGAAAGGAGCGTGAAGGCTGGAGAGACCAGCAGGGACCAAGCCTTGAGTTCCCCTGAGTGCTCTGGATGCCTTCCTGAGGGCAAGGAGGAGGCCTTGAAGCATTGACTGATAGATTCTTCCATTGATCAGTTATTTTCAGCAGGGAGTGACATGACCAGATTTATATTTTTAAAAGGCCACTGGCTGCACCATGGGGGCTTTGGGTGAAGCTGGGGGCCAGGAGCTCAGGTAGGAGGCTGGTGCAACAGTCAAGTGAAGCAGGAGCAGAAGGCCTTGAGCCAGGTCAGGAGAGAAGTCCCAGAAGTGGGACATCTAAGCTGAGTCTTGAAAGACGAGTAAGAATGCACCGGGGAGAGAAGTCGGGATGGGCGTCCGGGCAGAAGAAACTGCGCAGATAAAGAAAGGCTTGGCACACAGACGGTTCCTGGCAAGCTTGGGAAATTTCCATAGCTCTGTGGGGCTGCAGCATGGCCTAAGAGAGGGTGAGGCTGAGGAAGTGGGTCGGTGCCCTTACTGCCACTCGGCGCTCTCCATCCTGAGCCGAGCCCTGGTGCGGGGGGAGAGGCCATCGCTGCGCAGGGCTGGCTGTGCAGGGCTGAGAGCCCTGGCCCGGGCGCTCCTTACTCAGAACAAACCTTTCTGTGTTCACAACACTTTACATTGCACAAAGTCCCTTCATGCTTGGTCCTCATGGTTTCCTGGTGAGGAAGGCAGAAAAGGGATATTATTCCCATGTAGTAGATAAAGCAACTGAGGCACAGAAGAGTGCAGGAACCTGCCCCAGGTCACTTAAGAGCCCAGGTATTCCCCTCCTAAAACTCCCATGTTGCTTCTAATAAATCAACTTGTCCCTGAATCACATACACAATAGATGTAGAAGCTAACTAATGTGGTCAGAATAGAAAAAAAAAAGGCAGGGGGGCGGAGAAAACCCACCAGAGAAAGACACTTCCCTTCCATTCCCCATTTCTGCATGCTTCACCCTGGAGCTGGGGACATTCCAGCTCAGAAAACAGAGCCAGGTCCCCTCTGCTTTGGAATTCAACAGAAAGGAGGGCCAGTCCCAGCCTGCCCCCACCAGGGGTGGGAAGCCACTACACTCATCTGAGTCTTGGTTTTCTGACATGCAAAAGAGAGAAAAAAAACTTCACTCATTAGACTCATGAGGATTTAGCGTGGTAAAGTAGCACTATAGTAGTTACCTACTGCTGAGTAACAAATTTCCTCAAAACGTAGAAACTTAAAACAACAAATACTTATTATCTCACACGATGTCTGAGGATCAGGAACCCACACCTGGGCTAACTGGGAGGTGCTGGCCCAACACTGCTAGTGAAGCCACAGTCATGAGACAGCCAGGGCTGCAGTCAGCAGAAGGCCCACCTTTTAAGCTCACTCCAGCGTCATTGGGCCTCTGTTCCTTGTCGGCAGACAAAAGGGTGTCAACCAGGGAAGACCTCCTGGCAGAGGTGGGGAGGACAGGGGAGGGTGACCCAGAAAGAAGACAGAAGGTGAGTATGGCAGGCCACTATTGGTTGCCTACCCACAGAAAATCCCCTCTTCCTCCTGCCAGTAGCAAGCTGCCCAGCCACAGGGATGATCTAAGCCAGCAATGGAATGTCTTTTCCTTGGCCAGTGACTGCTCTAGAAGTAGGTGTGTGACCTCATTTTTTGTCAGTGATGTGTAAGGGGACGGTCTGCTAGGAAAGCTTCCCTCCTGGATAAGAGAATGGCATGAGAAGAAAAGACCCTTTCTGCCACTTGCCTTTTCTTTCTGCTGGAGAGGACATGGC